CGCGCCTAGACGGTGTTAGGTGACGTCATATCCGTCGTTTGACGGTGTGGATCACCTGATGTTCTTACATCTCGCCTCTGTTGACTTAACAACTGAGCATATAGGCTCAGGGAGTAATTTGTTTTGATTGTGTTCCACTACACCAAGCAGTGGCGGCTCGTGGGTGTACAGGAGGGTGAGGCTACATAAGGTTAATTATGTCTAAATACGAATAAATTTCCACGTCACCCGGGAGGTATTATTCTCCGACGCGTTGACCTTTTTTTAAAATGGAGCCGATAGCACTACTAAACCAAAAAATAAACTCTAAAAAACAAAACAAACAAAATATCACATCAAAGACTAGTTTTAATCTTAAACTTAAAAAATAGTCTTAAAAAAGTTAAAAATAAATAAATTAATCAAAAAATAAAAATAAAACTAAAAAGTCGACCCCTACCTAAGTATTAAAAAATATAAAATACTATACGTCTATCTTTTAAGATTGAAAATTTATCTATTATTTGGTCGTAAAATTGTTGGTCTGCAGTGAGATTTAAAAGTAATTCTAAATTTTCAAACCGCGTCTCTAATTGAAGAATTATGCAATCTATTATTTCAAAATATAAAATTTGCTTAATAAAAACTGCTAAATCTACCTTAGTGTGTTCCCTACAATAATTAAATAAGAAATTTTACTAATCGAGACAAAAACTATAAAAGATCAGCCAAAAGTTTTAAATAATTTAATCTGAATCAAAACAATAACGTGCTCTACAAGCGCTAAGATAAGACTGGCAACCTTCTTTGTCTCCGCTGGCATCCCACCATAAACGAACGACCAATCAGAACAAACCAAGCTAACTTAATGTCGCCTCATGTACGGTGTTTATTCGAGAACTTACGGCGATATTTTTGTTGGTGAGTCATTTTCGCTTTCACTAAATGGGAGCTTCCGAGGCTGTGAAAATTTCGCCTCTGTCCAAGCCAAGATACATACAACAAGCGACTCGACGCGCTTTGCGCCTGGATTTTTATTTACGCTTAATATTATTGATTGGTTTTTTACTTTTTATTGGGTAGAACTGTTGTAAAAATACACTTGTAATAGGCAAAAATATAAATACAAAAAGTCGTTCGTTCCTTCACTTTAAGGGTGAGGCGCGGCCTCAGAGGCCTACCCTGACGAGCCGCCACTGACACCAAGTTGCCCGACACTGATGAGACCCAATAAAGGTCGAAACAGCTGTCTGTCGGTATTTGAAGTTGGTGGAACGCATTCAAAACAAAAAACTTAGGCGAGGTGTAGGTTAAATTTTTTCTTATGAATATTACCAGTGATGGGTCAAAAGTTTCTTAAAGAAACTAAGAAAATTGAATGTTTACCTAAAATTTTAATGTAAACATTCAATTTTCTTAGTTTCTTTAAGAAACTTTCTTGACCCATCACTGGTAATATTCATAAGAATATAAGAAAAAATTGAACCTACACCTCGCCAAAGTTTTTTGTTTCGAATGCGTTCCACCAACTTCAAATACCGACAGACAGCTGTTTCGACCTTTATTGGGTCTCATCAGTGTCGGGCAACTTGGTGTAGTGGAACACAATCAAAACAAATTACTAAACATTCTTAATGTTTAGCCCGTTTGGGTTAATTCTAGATTCCTTTAGGCCATATTAGTATCTGTGATACAATTGCTGTGTGCAGTCCCGGTTGCATAGTATGTACCGATTGCAGCAAAGGCCACGTCGTTTGACGGTGTGGATCACCTGATGTTCTTACATCTCGCCTCTGTTGACTTAACAACCGAGCATATAAGCTGAGGGAGTAATTTGTTTTGATTGTGTTCCACTACACCAAGTTGCCCGACACTGATGAGACCCAATAAAGGTCGAAACAGCTGTCTGTCGGTATTTGAAGTTGGTGGAACGCATTCGAAACAAAAAACTTTGGCGAGGTGTAGGTTCAATTTTTTCTAAAATTTTAATGTTTACGCGCCAAAATAATTCGGACTTTATTTAATATTTTAATGCCATGGTCTAGTTTTTTCGTATTACATCTAGCATTTTAAATTTGTTGTTTTGTACATACATATACCCACTTTTTTAGTAGTCAAAACATAAACAAAATGATAATAAAAATAGCAATAAAATTTAAAATCATTGACAATTATACAAAAAAAACAGCTGTTTTGTATTAACAACAATAAAGATAATGGATTTAACTGTAAAATTATAGCGTTTACTGTTTGTACGGTATCTTTACTTCCTCTGTCGGTGATTAGTAAAAGCACGATATTTCCGTTAATACAACAAAAAAGATAAAAATAAAAGTAACATTAATAAAAAAAATTATTAACAACATACATACAGTGTGACCCATTAGTTTGCGACTCACTCCTTTAAAATCTTTATTTATTGTGCGATTTTAACCGGATTTGTTTAAAGTGTACACTGTACATGTACATCATGATAAACTGTATTTTTGGATTAAAGCCTTCCATTTTTACAAAATACAAGGTGTACTATGTCAGTTTTTGGAAGTAAATTTTTAAGAATTTATATTAGCGATTTAAAAAAATCCATACACGGCATTGGATTCATCACAACTATAGTTATAGTTATATTATTCATCACAACTATAGTTATAGTTATAGTGTATACACTAAATTTTATTAAAAATTTTTAAGCAGGAACGATTTTGTAGCCCAATTAAAAATGGACAATAATAACTATTTACAAAAATTAATTTTGTTAAGTTATCCATAAAAAAACATTGAAATAAGATTAAACTAATAGTAACATGGTATAAATATTCCTATGCTTAGTTTTGACAGATAAAAAACGCAATAGAAACTTAAAACAACATTGAAACCAAAAATAGATAATTCAAAAAATTCTCTTCAATTCGCAGCCATTACTCCAGAACAACTATGAAAGTGTATTAAAATAAATGGTGCATTAGAAGAGGTGACGAAAATCTAATTGTAGAGAATTTTTGGAATTCTCTATTTTTTGTTTCATTGTTGCTTTAAGTGTCTATTGTGTTTTTTATTTTTTAAAACTAAGAATGTTACTAAATACTAGTTTAATTTTATTTTTATGTTTTCCATGAATAACTTGACAGAATAAATTTTTGTAAATAGTAAAAATTGTGCATTTTTAATTTAGCTACAAAATCTTTTCTACTTAATTAAAAAATTTCAATGAAATTTAGTATAGGGTCGTTTAAATCCAGTATGCAACGATTTTAAAAAAATCGCTAATATTAATTCTTAAAAATTTACTCAAAAACTGTGGTACTACTTAGGCCTTGTATTTTATAAAAATTGTTTGCTCCAAAAATAAAAGATTTTACAGGTCGCAAACAAATGGGTTACACTGTATTATGATCAATTTGAAGATTTTTCGGTGTAAGACCTATTTAATTTGTTTGAATTATTCTTTAAAAAAACGCATTAGTAGTGTTATTATCAAGTTTATCCTTAATTTGGCAAGTCATAATTAAGGCGTGGATACAAGGAAGAAATTTAATTAGATTTTTTGAATTCACACCGAAATTAATTAATATAGCTGCAGGTAAAAGCTCTATAAGGTTGGGCGTACGTAATAAGCATATATACACGTTGTTTGTCAATCTATCACGGAAAACGTGATAAATAACACGAATATTGTTGAAAATAAATTAACATCTTAAATTCAATCTTGACGAAGAATAATTTAGATGTGTTAAATTTTTCACTTGGGTGTCAACTTAAAATATAATAAAATCGAAAGTAAGATGTTGCATGCATATTTAATATCTTTTTTATAGTTTTCAAATGTTACGAACTTATGTTTAACTAGTAAATATTTGTTTATAATTTTTCTCAGCTATTCATATTTGATTTAAAGCAACTTGTAATAATATTTATGCTAAAATTAAGAAAACATTATTATATAAATATCTTAAGATAATTAATAAATATTAATAATTGGAGTAAAAACTGTGTTTTACAGAAATATGTTCTGGTATGAATTGTTTAAGTTATTGGACTATTTATATTGTAACTACATATGGAATACAGGATATATGTATGTGTTTAGTCATAAAGACATTGTTTAGTCTAGTACAGTGGTTCTCAACCACCGTGTTGAAAGATTTACGAGATTTTAATTTTATCCTTTTTTTACATGTAGAATTTAATATGTATGTAGATATCTGTACAACAATCTGTAAAAAATTCCACATGTAGGGTGTCGCGAATTTGTAATGAGTATTTTGATGCATCACTGTGTAAAAAAAGTTGAGAACCGCTGGTATAGTAAAATATTTTAATCAATCAATAAAATTAATTCAAATCCCATTAAATATATAATAAATAAAATACTCCAACATACCATTGATTTGCTATTAGTCAGGTAGACTTAACCCTAGAAGGTACATCGTGGCAAAATTAAAAAAGTGATTTTTGATTTTAAGAGTAAAGTATAAAGAAAACCTTGTACTTCAAACAAATTTTAAAAACGATTTAGAATACTTTTATTACAGACAAAGACTTTGTATATTCGAAATAAAGTATTTTAGAACCTAAGTAAATAAGTCTAAAATGCTTTGAAAAATTACCTCTTATTTTTTCCACGTAGATTTGTATAAACCGACTGCAGGAAATATGCATCATATAAATAAAAATCAGAAAAATTACGTAAAAGTATGCTACTATGAAAATAAAAGATCGTCGGTGTGTTAAATAATAAAAGAAAGTCTTAAAAAGTAAAATTTGCTTTAAATACATAATAAATCGTTACGTTCATTAATATCCATGTTATATCTTAATCGGCTTAAAAACAAGAATAAATCAAACAATCAGGTGTTGATAGACGATTAAATTGATGGTTCTATTGTTTTAAGGTTGTGTGGTTAAGCTGGAGGCGCATTTTTATTAAAAGAAATTTTTCTTTGATATAAGAGGATTTGCTGTCCTATCCATCTTGAGGATGGATCGTATATTATGATGTCAAAAGTGTTTGTTCAACTCACCTCTATCGAAGCTCCTCTGCAACGGACCATCCATCTTGGCTCTGAGGGCGTCAAGGTCGAATGGGGCCGAGATTCCATGATCGACGCTCCTACTTTTGCTCCTACAAAAATGTTTAAAGAGAATAATAATCTATATGCAAAGTATGGGTATAGTATAGAGCAATTATTTAAATTTAAAAAAAACCTTAGATTTTAGGTTAAATAATTTTAAATAAATGAATTTTATTATAATTGAAATTTAACATACATAATATTATTTTTCCTAAACTTAAAAATAAGAATTATACTTTTTATTTAAATACAGTTTAAGTATTTAATACATAAATTTAATATTTTGATGTTTTTAAAAAACTAGCTACTAGAAAGACCCGTTACAATTTTTAGATATTTAAAAAGAGTTTTAGGTTCTTATTTTAACCAACCAATTTTAGAGGTTTTATTTAATTATATTTTTGTTGTTTTAATGTTTTGAGACCATTAATTTATAAATATTAAAGGGTAGAAAACAAATTGAAAATATATCTGTCAGCCATGTTCACTTCGCCTTGTTTATTTTGTTTCCATAACAACTGTTTTTAAGATGTGTATACCCATTATAATTATTATAATGAGGCAAAAATTATTTTTCTAAATACTTAATACTACACCGGGTGTGCAGAAAAAATGTTTTTGCAATTTTGATAATTTTTTTTGTCAAACAAAATTACCTTAAAAGATCAGTTTGTGTAATTTCTTAAAAAAATAATTACAAAATTTTCAGAACCTCACCTGTGAAACTGGAATTTATGAAAACATGTAAATTTAGCTTTAAAGATTAACCTTGTTTTGTTCTAGGAGGTCAATTTATTTTTTATTTTTCCAGAGGAGAACATAGTTTTTTAATTCGATGGTCTACATTTTAAATTTGCTATACTATTTTGGTAAGCTCGAAGGTTAAAAGATATATTATTTATTTGTTTGATTTTCCAAATATAGATATACCCAATATCATATAAAACTGTTTGCAATATTTTAAGTGGATTTCCTGTCCAATCAAAACAACAAAATTTAAATAGCTTTAATCTAGTCCCTAATGAATCTTTCAACTAATATATCTTTAAATAATATTATACATGCACATATTACCAACGCATTTTCTATAATTAGTTTATTATTATTGCCAAACAAGAAAAAAATGTGCCAAATATAATTTTTGTTCAAGTAACTTTTCAACTTTTTGAAATAATAAAGCTTAGAAAATTAAAAAAAAATAATATTTAATAGTTTTGAGTTTTAAGGAGGCACTAATAAAAAAATAAAAAAAATAATTTCTTTTTTAACAATATTAAACACTTTGAATCATCAATGATTTATGGCAAATAAACAATCATTACAATGTAAATATGTGTTATTGATGGTAATAATTAGCAAATATTCTGTAAAATTGTGTCACCGTTAATAAGTCTTAATTAACTTAATATTGCAAAACGATATTTTTAAAAATACTGTTAAATATTGCGCTTGTGTATTTGTTTATTTAATTTTTAACAGGGTTTCTATGAATAAATTACATTTTTATGCTTATTATGTAAATCGATAACTTTAAATATTTAAATAACAATGGCTATTCATTTTTCAAATCGATTAAATTTTAACAAACGCATTGATTTTCAATCAAGGTTGAACCAATGACGAGTACATCTTACCTTTTCTAAATAATAATTTTAATTATACAAAAATCTAATTTAAGGTGCAGTTAGTTGCAATAACCCAAAAAAAGCAATTGCATAAAATACTTACCGCATAAAGTGAAAATTTTCCTTTGTGGTTCTTCCACCATCTTGGGAAGCTCTTCGCGACCTGATCAAAGCAAAAACGAAAAAAAATGATAAAAACATGCAAAAACGTGTGAGGTGGATAAATTATTTGTGCTGCCAAAATATGAGACATTAATTAATTAAATAAATTTACCTCTAAACGAAATAAAAACAATTTATAAATTTATATATATATATTTATAAACAATTTATAAATTTATATATATATATATATATATATATATATATATATAAATTTATATGTATATGTCCTTGATATATATATATATATGTCCTTGAAGTTTTCTGATCTGAACTTCTAAATGGATAATTTAACTGCAATTTTAAATAAGAAAAGTAATATTTTACACTTTTTAAAAATATATTAAAAACCATGTTTAAGATCCTTAAAATGTTGATTGATTTTTAAATGTAGCAGGTCAGACACCTTTAGGTTTAATCTTTTTAATCGTTTCAGAGGTTCATTTGGTTGGAAATTAAATTCAATCGTATTAAGTGCGTTTTTTTATGTCCCATTTGATTCACCCATGCATTATTTAAATTAAAATTGTGGGTGTACAATGTATTTTTGTCTGAAAAATAAGATATACGAGACCCCTTTGCAAAATTATGTTAATGAAATCACGTGAGGTGCAGAAAGTTTCTTAAATTGGATGGTGACGTATAAGTTTACTTAAAAAAATTATATTTTTTGATAAAGATTGGTGCGAGAGCGCAAATTAAACAAATTGATTTTTTATGTTTTTAAAAGTATAATTATGGCAATATTTAAGGTAATTATATTTAATGGAGTCAACTTTATAATTGCTCAAGGATATTGACAAAATAAGTAATTTAAATAACTTTATAAATTTAAAATAGGCATTCTTAGCTTTAAAGAAATTAGCATATTACATTTTTATTTTGTTTAAAATACCACATTGTGGGCAGTAAAACGCACATAAAATTATGTTTGTTTTGCAAAAATAATCAAACGCAGTCTAATCGTCATTAAGTTTGGCTAAAAGCCATTTTAGAATGTTAAAGTTAAGCGAATTAAGCTTTATTATGAAAAATTAAATATGAAATAAATATATTATGTCAGGTTTACAATTCACTGTTGGCACGTCGTAGCATGGAAATAAATAAATATATTAATTACTATTCCTATTTTCCTATTTGTTGTGAAGATTATCCATATATTATGGAACACCCTGTATATTTTATATTAATTTAAATGAAATATACTTTGAATTGTATTGCTATAAAGGCAATTTTTGACGTGAAAGAAAATTTAAAACTAAGTATTGAAAAATAATCTACTCATTAATATCAAGACACTTTATAATATTTTTTAATAAAAATTTATTTGTTTATACACAATGACATTGTGCGATAGAACATTTCTGTTTGATTAAAAAATAATTTCCATCTCCTAAACTATTTATAAAAAATAATGAATTTCAAAAGATGTTGAGAAATGATTGCAATTCAGCATTGTTGCTAATTTAAATTTTTTGAATTAACAAATGCCGATTTTGCCATGTCCTACACATGGAATTTGAACATTTATTTAAGTACTGGGAAGTCTAAACGCTTAATATTAAGGGTTTAAATGTTGAAAATCTTGTTGAAGTAAGTTAATTAATTATTTTAAAACAATTTAAAACATTATTATGAAATATTAACACAGGTTTTATATATTGATAACCGTGAATCTGCGGCAAAAATATGCACCTTATTAATTAGATTAAATACTCTGGGATCTTATTTGTTATTAAAAGTATTTTTTAACGTTATTGTGAACCAAAATTTTGACATTGAATAGTTTACAAAATAATGGAAGTTTTCATCTACGTATACGTATAGATCTATAGATCAGTACTTTTACACAGGGTGTTTAAATTTCATAATATCGTAATTCGTTTTTTTAAATAAATTTTTGCCATTTTTTTGTCCAATTCTTAATATTATTTATCATTAAAAAAAGCGCGAGCACAAAAAAGTTTGTTTATTAAAAAAATTATATAAATAAACAAAAATGACGAATAGCACGATAATGAAAAGGTTATTACTCAATGCATTAATTTCTCAACATTCAACGAAATTTTCAGAATTTTTTTATAAATAGTTTACCAGATAATTTAAAAAATGTCTACTCTATATCCAGAAATTGACAGATAATTTGTAAATTATTAAAAACACATCTACCAATTACTAATATAAAAAATACTAGATCGACTACCAACATAACAACTGTATCAAAGTTCAAATAAATACAACACTCTGCAGGTATTTGAAATTATGTAGATATAGTTTCTTTGGTTCTTTGCACTTTATTACAAAGCCATACATAATTTATATAAAGTCATATTAAATACCGTTACCACATATTTAATCACGTCATAAATGCACAAACTAGTCCATCCGTATAAACTAGAGAAAATTTCTATATAACTGTTGCAATTACGAATTGTTCTGTTTTATTTTTAGAACGAATTTCTTCAAGTTTCCAAATGAAACTCCTACAATTTAAATTTCTACAGTTTCACAAAAAATTGATTTATTACCTATAGATAAATTTATAAAACGCATTGCGATTGTTTTTATTGCGTTATTAAATTTACATATGTATTAAGTTTTTATGCATCCAGATACGTGATGTTGGTCACAGACGACTGCATCTCATGCTTATTTAAATATTTATTGGAATAATAGGAGAATCCCATTACGTGTTCATAAAATATTTTCAAACAGGTTTTTTAGGAATTTTTGGTAAGATATTAGTCAAATATTTAATAATAGATTTTGCATATTGGATAAAAGTAATACAAAAAACAAGCTACTAAAAACACGCCTTAATGCACTAAAAAGTATAAAATAATGTAATTTACTTCAAATATTTTGCGCTATTAATAAACTTGTCAATTCTTAATGTTCAATGACTATGCTTATGTACTTTTAATTAATTTCGACAAGGCGCCCCACGCTTTTTGGCATAGTCATTGAGCATTAAGAAGTGACAAGTGCATTAATAGCACAAAATATTTTGACTAAATTACAATGTTTTATAATTTTCATTATTTTTAGTTTTTAAAACCAATATTCGTTTTTACTTTTTACTCTTAAAATTTAGTTAGTTTGTTACATCCGTCATATTAAAATTAGAATAATTAGTGCACTTGTGAATAAAACAAACGTTTTTGCACAAAATTTGATATTCAGGGTTTTTTAGAACGGGAAAATTAAATTTCTTAAAAAAAATAATTTAGGTTGTAAAGGGCGATGTCTGCGACACTTTGCATAAGTTTAAATGGTCATTTTTTGCGCCTTCGCGTTTTAATACAAATTTTATTTTTTTTCATCTGTAGGTACTACGCAAAAAAGGTACACCTAAATGTCGCTCCAAAAAACCGTTTTCGAGATAATATGTTCGTTTAAATTGTTTAATGCCCTTTTTATTGTGATTAATTTGTACTTAAAATAAATATAAAAAAATATTTAAATCACAAAATTTGGACAAGACAATGACGAAGTTGGACAGTAACTAAATTTGTAACGTCTATAAATTTATTTTTTTAATCGTAACCTACTTTTTTAAAAAATATTACATTTTTAAATTAAAATTAAATGAGTGCACTGAACAATTTAAATGCAAATATCTCGAAAACGTTTAGTCGCAGCGTAAATTAGAAAGTATTAGACTGAAAAAATTAAGGCGCAAAAAGATGTGACCATTTAAACGCATGTAAAGGGTCACAGACAGCACCCTTTACAATCTACATTAATTTTTTTAGGAAATTTAACTTTCCCGGTCTGGAAAACCCCCAAAAATTAAATATTGTGCAAATCTTGCTTATTATCATTGCATTAAAGTAAATTTAGTTATAGGTAAATGTGGTATCATTTTGTACAGGAATTTCAGGCACACCTCGTACATTAGAAATTTAGAATATTTTAGAAAATTTTATAAATATTATTAATATTTTAGTAAATTTCGTTAAATTAGTCTCCTGAATATTCCTTATTTGCTTTTCTTTTAAATAAGCGTATACGCTTATAATCTGTCAAAATAGACAAACTTTAAATTTATAATTGTCCTAAAATGTATCTCTAAATATTTAAGACTAAACACAAATACATAATTATATCCTTATAAAAATGTTACTTAGCACGTTTGGTGAATTATTAACATGTTTATTGTTTATATCGGTTATTATGTAAAGATGAAACAAAAATACATTGCTGATAACATAACTAAAAATAGTGCAAATTGGTTTAATATATTATATAAATTTTCCATATTTTTCTGCTAAACCAGATAATAACAAAAATAAATACCCAATATAAGTGTAATAGGATTATTTACAATTAAAAGCGCATCTGCTGAAATCCAGTTTGAAGTTGAAGTGGAAACAATTGGTTAAAAATAAATGATTTTATATAAAAATATCGAAATTGATAAGAAAATTGCGATAAAAACGAATAACAGCTGATAAAGGCATTAAGTAATAATATTATTTCCGATGTGTATTTTTAATTAATGAAGTGCTTAATTATAGTTATAAACCTCTGAACTTACGCTATGCAAAACAAATGATAAATATGAGACTTTCTAGCCATACAAAATATTAAAAACCGATAAATTTACCAATGTTAAAACACAATAAAATTAAGCTTCATTGTTTTGAGTTTATTGAAATGCAAATTATTTTTACGGTTGTCTGTTGACAAATTAAATAATACACAAATTGTTAGACAATTATACAAGCCATTAGATATTTGGATTAAATCCAAAACAATTGTTTTCATTTATTTATTTATAACAGGTTCTGAGAATTGCAATTCTTGCAAAATGTTTATTATGATATCAAAAAAAGAAAATAAAAATTTTATGTTGCTATAAAAAACCGGACCGGTATACATTTTTGGGCGATACAACAAAAACTGGCGTCTATTATAAAGCAATAAACCCAGGAAATTGTTCTTTCAAATAAATGAACCGAACTGTGGTTTATTTATCATCTTGTTTAAATAATATTTATTATTATTCGATTTTGCAATAAATATGTGCAACAATTAAATTTCATCAAATGCGCATCGCATTTTGGCACAACTGGTACAAGTAGATCAAAAACGCAACAGATGTTTTCTATTTTTATTCTGTTGGTAAAAAATAAAAATAACAGTAGGCGATATTAATACATACACAACTGTATAAAACTAATACTCGAAATTTAAGACATCTAAAATAAAACAGATATAAAAAAATACGCACGTGCTTAATTTTATGGTTATCGATATTTTATTAACAAAATCAAGGAAAAATTATGTGTAAATCGTATTAAAATAGAAAGAAAATTCTGTTGTATTAACCTAATTTCTAAAATATTTGTAATATATTAGCTATAGCTAAAGTAAATAAATGTTCCTGTTATCATTAAAGTGAACGGCTTATAATATGTTTTGTGTTTTATACAGAGTGTAATGATAAAAAATGTTAACGTACGAGAAGCAGGTTAAAGCTTTGTTGTAAAAATTTTAAGGTTATAGCGCACCTTCGAAGCTTTTGCATTCGATTGCGTCAAACGGTAGATATACGGAAATAATAAAAAATTTAAATCCTGACATTACCTCACAAGAATTTTAATGTCCGTGTGGGTGAAATCTACAATTCTTTGTTATACATATACAGTGGTGGACAAAACCATGTTAACTTAATATACTAACTAATAACTTAATAATTTAATAAAATATTTCAAAAATATGGTATAAATTGGTGTACTAATTTTCTATACGATTTAAATAAAACCTTACTCCCACCTTTAAAACGCCCATTATCGGACAAGTTTCCATGACTGTCACGTGCTGAAGTTAGCAGCAGTTTCTTTCGGAGTTTTTTTAAGTCACGGGCTGAAGTTAGCTTTAAGTTGGTTAACAGTGGTTAAATGTCATACAATCATCAAAATAATACAAAATTATTAAAAAGTTAAAGTTTGTATGAATTTGTAATGACATTTTGATTTTGCCGGCAGTAACTAGTATTTGCCGATAAAGCATTAAAAATTTCGTGTAAAGTAAACATCCTTTTTAATTTCACAGTAAAACAGATTCCTAACACCATTTTTGATATAAGACGCTTTATACAAATATTTAAATTAATTGGTATTACATTATAGATTATTTTTTATAATATTTATTGTAGAAGAAGTATTTTTATTTAACATTTGCTCGCACGTGCCTAACTAAAATGGCGTTTATAAAACTTGATACATAATATACTTTTATGTCAATTTATAAGGGTTTGTAAGTAAATAAAATAAATATTTTAGTGAATAATGCACAAAGTTATACATAAAATAATATATTATGTATCAAGTTTATTAGGCACGAGCGAAGCTTGCGCGCGAGTGTTTAATAAAAACGAGTGTTTAGGAAAGTTTATAAAACGAGTTGCATATACAAAGAAGAATTTAAAGCCCTATTTTATTTGTCACACATTAGACATTTGTCAACTTTAAATGGATTTAACCTTACTTTTCCCTAATTTATAGTAAAGCTAACTTCAGCCCGTGACTATTTGACTATTAGTCAATCCCAAAAGCCACTATTGCTAGCTTCAGCCCGTGACTAAAACGTTTGACAAATTAAGAAATTTTAATTAAAACATTTTAAACCCTTGGCCACAAGCGTACATAATAAGTATTATTTTTAAAAATATAGCAGCCTTTGTAATTTAATGTAAGACTAGGAAATAAATAAAATTTCCCGGTATAAATGAAGACAGCATTGATAATTATTTTACAATAAATAAATCTGAAACATTATTAAAAACAATTACTTCATTTGTTTTGTAATTAATAACAAATGCAAATAGCTTGCTACGAATAATAATAATAAATTGTATAAACAATGACGTATATATATATATATATATATACCTATAGGTACATAAAAATAAGTAAATTATATTTACTACAATAGTACTTCTAGTATTTTTTTAAATAAAAAGTCGCTTTTTTTGGCCTTAAGCAATCTTCGAAGGTAACTTTGATCGTACATTATTTGCTGTTTTGAAACAATTACTTCACCAACAATCATTGTTTCTTTAATAGTCATCATGTTCTTTGAAATAAATATAATATTGAGAATAAACTTTAAATAAAATTTAATTATAGTACCTATTGCATAAACAGTTAAATTGCTTTAACTTTCGCCTAATTAAATTTTGATAGTACAAATTAAATTGCTATTTTTTGCAAGGTATCCGTTCAGAAGCAGGTAAATCTTTAACATAGTTTGCACAAAGTATTTAGGTTATAGAGGAATATTTATGTTAGTTATACAGCAGTGTAATAAAATAATGAATTGTACAGTGTACAATAATAAATTGCATTAGATAAACAATAAACAGGGGCAACTGCTGTTGTATTTGTATTTTTACTTTTGTTTAAGAAGTATAATTGTAAATCATTCAGATGTTTTAACAGTGTTTGCATTTTCCACATTTGTTATTGTTTAAATCTCGTGATACAGTTAAACGTTTGTTATATTTCATATTTTTTAAAACGTATATTATATGAGATAAAAGTATTAGCCCCATGTCATGAAAATATACAATTATAAAAACTCGTTAATAATTTAAATGGGACTTTAAATATAATTGAAATATAATGTCTTTATTTTGTTTTATTTATAAGATACAAATACGTTTTTTTACGCTGCCAGTCAAAACCCAATAAATATTATTATATTGTAATAATACTGAGGTAAATGTACTTTAATAAAGTTTTCTATGAAATATTATTATTTTGCATAATACTGTTTTATTAGACAATTTAACGCTGAACTAATTAAATAAACTTGAACAATGTAGGTAAAACCGTAACGTTTATACAACAGGCTATTTATTTACTTTCAGATTTTAAATTGTTCTCATATGCTCACTAACTATAAGAAAAATTAATGTTATTACGCTCCATTTTTATCAACAATACACATTATGCAACCGTGAGTTCTATTGCACGGTTTGTTATTTGTATGTCTATTTGTAAAAGTCGCTGGTCAGTTTTATTTCTATAAATTAGCATTCCCTCAGTATTGGAAATCGTGTGTAGCTGAATTTCTATGTCATTGGCATAATTTTGATTCAAAGTGGATTCCAGATACGAATTTAATTTTTTTCTCCAGTAACCTTGTCCCAACCCATATTTATGTAAATTGATCATCCCGAAATTTAACAATTATCGCAATAAAACCCATTCAGCTGTGGTAAACATCCGTTTCCTATATTAAACACCCAGGTGTTGTTAGCATCAACAATTGTTTATATTTTAAAGATATTTGAACTTAAATTGTTTGGTAAAACCTGACACAACTATAAATAAAAATATTTAAAATAATTGATTAAACTTTCGTTTAAAAATAACTTGAGTACCTACACTTATTTGATAAAGTACTTATTAAATTTAATTACAATATTTTTCTGATGAAATTGAAGTGTTTTCGTTTTATTTAGATATTCAAACATAAATTTAACAAATTTTCCAAGTAGACTTCGTTGTAATTAAGTCGTTTGATATGCTAATTTCCACTTGTAAATTATAATTATAATTACGATTGGCAATTATCTGAACTTTTGAATAATATTTATCATGCACTATTGACATTATTATGGGTTGCTTATATAAACAAAATAGAAAAGGCAACAAATAAAAGAATTCAGATTAAACTATGTAATTCAATTTATGTTTATCGGTGAAAAATATAAATTATTATTTTTTACTTGAACTTTGCTTTAAAGGAATTACCTATCCAATCCAATTTAATCTGCAGTATTGAAAAAAAAACAATTGACAAAAATTTATATGTATAGAAAAATATTATATGTATAGAAAAATATTGTTTTGACTAAAAAGTTTCCATTGTGGCCCAATTATAATTACCAACATATTAAAATTTCATGATTTATGTAAACATGATTTTGACTCATATCAAAGCGAAACGCCCGGGGTTAGAAGAAAACTCAAGCGCCTTCAATAAGGAATTGCATACCTAGGCCATTGTTGCGGAGCAAAAATGTTCCACCAGCTCGGCCTCTTCTGTCTGGCTTCTGGAGGGGAACCGTCAACAACCCCTTTCCTACGTTTCCTTTCGAATTTAATGGCGTGCCATGACTTCCTCCTGGCCTTCTTGTCTACAATTTGAACCACTTCTTCTTCGATGTTGGGCCAGGAGTTGTCGTGTTTCCGGCTAACGTAGGTTTCTTCCATCCACGGATCCTTCTCGTGAACCACTTGCAATACTTCTGTGTTCATCATTTTTACGCTTTAGTCTGGACGAGTCACTTGCTGAGGGATGACTGTGCCATCGTTTAAAACAGTTCAAGGGTAGCTGGCAGACGTCCAAGTCCCCTGTGCGGGGAAAAATCTATAACGAACTTTCACAGGCGCCCGACAACTCTCTCCTATTACAGTTATTATCAATTTTTTAAAACACGGAACTGAACCGGCACAATTTTCACCAATAAATAAACAATCACTCGGACCCAAGGAAGACTCGATAAAAAAACTTAAGAGGGCTGACCGACGTCTACATCAAAGAGAAGCTCGTAGTGCACTAACCTACTGTTACTCGGTCTCTAGCAGCAAGCAGCTACTTTCACGAGCAGCAGGATTGTTGTATGGTACTGCCAGCGCTTAGTGTTGTATACCGGGTCTACGATTTCAACTGTCACGCTGATGCTGCTGCTTGCTCGATGATCTAGAATTCATACACTGCCAGCGAATCCCACTACGATTTGGCGACACACCACACTTTTCGTCAAATAGAACTGTCGTTATAAATAATTTGTTTTCAGGAAGCGGAATTTCTAAAGATAACTAACAATAACAGAATAACTAGGTATCTCTCGCCAAATTCAATATTTGTTAAATATTTTCATGAAAGTGGAAAATGATGACAGTTTTAAGAATAGTTACTCATAGGAAAAATACAATTTGATTCAAAAAAATGTTTCTTTTTTTAAATCAAACTATTTTAAAATTTCTTATATACTTTGTTTATATCTACAGGATTAGTCAGAAAACAAAGTAAAAATAAATTAGTGAAAAAAATGGCCTTCCCAGCCTAATTGTACATAAAATACCGGGTATTTTTTTTATTTCTAATTTTTATAGCGACGACGCTCTTTCCGTTTATCACAGCTCCAACATACTCACGGCCTAAGCTATTGAATTGCGTTCCTGTCAATTTATCGATTGGAAATTTTATTTACATCGATTTTTGTTTTTTGTAAATCAAATGTTTGTCACAAACTGTTTGTGTTCCAAAAATGGCACACTTAAATTACCTTTTGAAGTAAAACTTTTTTAGCAAGGTGTCCAAACAATATGTCACAATATGAAAATAATATAAAAATATGAAAAGCTTTTAAAAATCTGTATCGTAAGAGCTTGAGGTCGCAGTGTTTTTAAGAATAAAAAAATTAAACGGGCTGTGCCTATTCTTGAAGTTTTTTTATAAACTTGTAACAGAAAATAATTAAATATTTAAATCAATGATATAATAGCAACCCTAGGGTGTTTAAAAAAGGGATTTTACATAAAAAATAATATAAATGAGGAGCATCCGTGCAAAACCGGCTATATCCACTCTCGGTTTCCTGGCCTTTACAGATAAAAAAAGCAAACTTGAGTTTTGTGGGCTTTGTGGTACTTGATTTATAAGACATACTTTCCTTTTCAAAAACTTTATATTAAGGCCAAAATTTCAAAAAATGTTTTGTATATAGCCGGTTTTGCTCAAAAACCTACGAATAAAATGTGAAAAAAACCTTTATTATTCTAAAAATTAACAAAATAAATTTAGTGATAACATGAAAAAACAGAACAAATTTTAGTAGTAGTATCGACATATCCAAGCCACATGTTCATCATCATTATAATTTATTGGATATAGCTGGGTTTGCTAAACGTGGATTTGGCCGGTTTTGCTCCTAAAGCTACCTTTTAAATGTGATTTTAACATGGATATAGTCGGATTTAAACAGAATTATCTTGGTTGTCGATAGAAATGAACCCAAAGATGCGAAATCAAAAAAAAAAACAAAAACTGAATAAAATGGATTTAGCCGGTTTTGCACGGATGCTCCTCAAATATGGCATATGATATATTTTTGTATTTTATTTGAAATTTTTTATTAGTGTTATTTTTGATCGGTGATATCTTTAAAACGGCTGACCTGAAGAACTTTGACCTTCAGATGTTTTTTGTAGAGCGTGAAATTGTCTATAACTCCTCTCGCTTGCATGCAACATGTTGCGAAAACAAACCATTCCAAAGTTATAAGAATTCAAAATTAAAAAAATAAAAATTCCCGTGATATTAAAATGGAAAAACAACAAATGAATTGAGGCAAACCTTAATATTAATATTAAGGGTTCAAATAGGCGCCAACATTTTTGTTTTTTAATGTACTATTAATTTTTCAACACCATTAGAAAAAAAATAATTGTTTTTTTTAAACAACCTAAGCAACACATTACTCTAAAACTCGATTCCTATAATCTACTTTATACTGAGAAGTTGCTCTCCATCATTACACACAAATCAGAACCAATCCGGGAACTGGAGGTATTTGAAATCAATTCAAAGGCCGTACTAGAATGTCTGAGAGACGGGACGGCATTAAGCGAAGCACAAAACCAGATAACTCTTATCCTGTTACAAGGAGAAGGCAGAGGCAGTTCGATAAGGTGGAAGCCAAACTTTGCAGCTGATGAAGCCGAAACCATGCTGATAGGGCCGAACCCACATGCGGCACCAGGAAAAAAACTAATTGACTGGACAGAACTACAGCACAAACAATACTGGGAAAGCATGTCTGGTTAGGAGCATTCGAAAGCACTTTTGGACAATCCATCTGCTGAAGGGCAAAAACCAATGACGACATTTACCAGGACCCAACTAAAGAAAGCATTAGGCCTTCTCACATGCCATGCCCCCTTCAAAAAACATCTTCACATAATGGGGATGACAGATGGCCCATTGTGCAGAGGATGTGAGGGATTTAACCCCTTAAGAAGAACACACCTGGGAGAGTCTAAACTCACACCAGAACTTTTAAAATTGCTTCCACTGGCTCGGCTACTGCGCTTTATAGAAGCAACGGAGCTAGAGCTATGGAAGTAATACCATCTAGGGCACAATAGGATTGCGAAAGCAAACCGCAGTGCAGGGCTTTGAACCACCTAACGGGAGAGTTTTAGTGGGTATACGTCATTAGACGGAGTCCCACACTACTCGGGACCCCAAGAGGAACCGAGTGTTCGTAAAGAATTTTTTCGCCGGCCGAAGATAAAAAATCATCTACTTCAGAAGTTTCACTTCCATATGTATTGTGCTTATAAAGGTAAGGCACATGTTTTTTTTAATGACAAGTTTTTCAGTTATTATGTAGGTATTTGATATTTTACATTCCGCATTTGTTTTTTTCGTAACCATTATTATTTTATCTTCATGTGACACTTTGTTAAGACTTTGTGTCATCATGTGCTATAATAATGTTATTATGCGTCAGAATATACGCATGACATGGGGGAGAGGGGTGACGTACTTTAGACGACCCCTAACGGGTGTTGGAATTTTTTAATATGTTTTTAAACCTATCTAGAACGCATTGCAAACAAATATATATATCGATTTATTATTATTCTAGAATTATTTATTATTATTTTAGAATTATTTGCATCGATTTTATCTTATTATTTTTAATCGAAATAGAAACTTATTTGTACATGAGTTTTTTAAGTTGATGAACATAAAATTTATTTAATATTATTGATAACAAAACACACACCTTAATTTATTACTTTATTAAAATATGGGTAATTCCATTTGAAATCGTGCAGGTCATCTTTTGCTTTAAATTTACATGATAAATTCCACATACAATTCTAAAGGGCACGTATTTTTTTGATTAAAAATTAAATCTGTTGATCGAAAAAATCAAGCCTTTCAGTAAAAAGAAAAAATACTTTGTATAAAGCAAATTAAAAGCAAATAAAAAAACAGCGGTTCTTAGATATTCCTGGAAATTAAAAAAAAGTAACACACATTTACATTTTAGTTATTTCTTTTTTTCCTATTGCCACCACACATCGTAGTATGGCGCGCCGCGGCGCGCCGTTTGATTTTTTATTCGGAATTATTTATTTCTCCATTAAATTTCACATATCTCTAAATCAATTTCAGATATGTAAAATTAATTTCAGATATCTCTAAATCAATTTCAGATATGTGAAATTAATTTCAGATATCTTTAAATCAATTTCAGAAATCCCAAATTGAAGTTGCAAATGTGATATTTATTTATAAATAAAAGATACCAAGTCAGAAATTTAATTCATTGCATTAAAAATATCATAGAACAAATTAAAATATGCGGTAAATTTTAATGTTAAAGTGATATTTTTAATTCCTTGAATAAAAAATATCATGGGACAAATATAGAATTCGAATTAGCAACATCAGAAATTTATAATTTAAATTAAAAATATTATGGTAAAAATTCTTAAACAAATTAAAAAAATATGAGATAAATGTATAATTCAAATTAAAAATATCATAAGAGAAATTTTTAAATGAATTAAAAATAACAGAAGATATATTTAATTCGAATTAAAAATATCATAGGAGAAATGTATTATTCAAATTAAAAATATCATAGGAGAAATTTTTAAATGAATAAAAAATATCATAGGAGATATTTGTAATTCTATTTAAAAATATCATGGGAGAAATTTTGAAATGAATTAAAATTATCATAGGAGAAATTAATAATTCGAATTAAAAATATCATAGGAGAAATGTATAATTCGAATTAAAAATATCATAGAAGATAATAATTATTTGATTACTTAATATAATAAAGCATATTTTTAAGTAATGTCATATTTTCATTCTTACTGAACTAAAAAACGCACTATATGCGGTGTTAGTGCATTCGACCTACAGGTGCCGCTAACTGGCAACTGTTAAGCTTTAAATATGAACAAACTCCTGCTATAAATTTATTAATATTATTATTAATATTATATTAACCTATCTTATTATTATAATTATTATCACACATTAGCATTATTAGTGCATTTATTTTAATTATAAATATTTTTGTAACCGGTAGTTCAAATATCTTTACGAGTTTGTAAAAACGCGGGAAAAAATTTATTCATCTGTCAAAAATTAAATGTAGTTAACCGGTTAAAAAATATGTATAATTAAGATAAATGCATTAATAAAGTTAATGTGTTATAATAAC